AGAGTAGAGGGGCCAGCAAGTGCCCTGGCACTGGACTCCCATATGGCTGACTGTGGTTCAAGTCTCACCTGACGGCTTGCTATTTCACTTTCACTCTCTTTCTGGTCAAATCAAATAATAATAATAAATAAATAACATATAAAAAAAAAAAAGAAAGAGTGGAGAAAGAAGGGGAAAAGAGGCAAGTGAAAGAGACAGAGATTAAAAACAGACGCTAAAAAGGCAGAGAGAAGCCATATTAGAGAAGAGAACCAGGCAGCTTAGAACCAGAGCAACAGCTCCCTTGCCCTACAGGGTCTGGGCCCCAAGCAGCAAGTCACTGCCCTTCGGCCTCAGTCTCCAGGCCTTGGTGACACAAACCTGGAACCAAACTTGAACCACATGGTGTCCTCCAGGGCTGACTGCCTGGCTTTTCTCCCTAAGCGCTTCGAGGCCAGCAGCAAACACTACCTGTTGGTGAGACCCTGTGGCCGTGAGGGGCGTAGGTGGGGCGCTCTGTCCACTGTTTAGCTGAGGAAATGCGGCTCCTAATGAAACTCCGAGTGTCCTCAGCATGCACGAGCACGTGAAAACTAATAGAGGTAGTCCCTTTTAGAGGCGGGAGGTAGTGGAAGACTGCCAGAGGAGAAACAGGCATCTGGGAGGTGGGTTTAAGAGGGCACATTCTGGGACCAGCAGTTGGCACAATGGCTATGTCGCTGGACTCCCATGTAGTCAACCATGGTTCAAGCCCCGGACCCAGTGGCTTAAAACTCACACTGGACGTGTGTGCATGCATGCCCAAGGCCCCAAGAGGAGAATGGAGGAGAAGGGATTGTGATGTGGCCATCCCCCTTTGGGGGGTGATTTCTCACTTTCTATCTCTGTCTCTCTCTGTCTTTCTGGCGAGTGCACGTGCCCTATAGCAAAAACCTCTCCAAAAAAAAAGAGGGCATGTTCCAAAGTGGAGATCTGGCGAAAGTCAAGACCTGGGATCTGGATATCAGGAGATGATTGGCGATCAATGGGACAAGATGACCTGGCCCACACGGCTGTCAGGTGCAAGAAGGCCTTGAATGCTGAGAGGAGGAGCTGGGAGTTCACCATTAACAGTGAGAGCCAGAAATAGTCTTGAGTCAGGGAGGCGGGAGGGCGGGGCAGCACTGGATGGATTGGAGTGGGGAGGAGTGGTGCCAGGGACGTAGGGCTGAGGCTGATGGAAGTCCCCGGCCAGGCCTGGTGAGCCAGCAGGAGAGGAGACTGGTGAGAAGGCAAGGTTTCAATTTGGCTGACATGGATGTGCTAGTACCATGAGAGTTGGGGAAGAAGCTGGACCTGGGGGCACCTGGACATCACCTGATTGAAGAACTCCACTTGTGGGGCTGGCACGTGGTGTGGTGGTTAAGAGCACTGCACTCCCACAGAGCCGACCACAGTTCAAGTTCCAGACCTGGTGGCTTACTTTCTCATTCCCCCCACCCCGCCACTCTGTCCCTCTCTGGTCAAATGTAAATAAATAAATAAATAATAAAATAAAGTTAAATAAAATAATTCTTTAAAAAAAAAAAAAAAAAGAACTCCGCTTGGGGGACCAGCAGAGGAGTAATGGTTACATCACTGGACTCCCACATAGTTAACCACGGTTTGAGTCATGGACCCAGCAGCTTGAAACTCACACTGGGTGCATGTGTGCCCAAAATCTCGAGAGGAGAATGAGGAAGGGATTGCAGTGTGGCCAAACCTCCTAGGGGGTGATTTCTCACTTTCTATCTCTCTGCCTCTCCAGGGAGTGCATGCGCCCTAGAGCGAAAACTCTCTAAAAAACAGGAACTCCACTTGGGCTTGCTCCTTGACCTGTAGTTAAGACAGTAGGATTTCAGGGACCAGCAGTTAGTGTAATGTCTATGTCGCTGGACTCCCATGTAGTCGACCGTGATTTGAGTTCGGGACCCGCGTCTTAAACGCACGTCAGGCCTGTGGGCTTGCGTGCCCAAGATCCCGAGAGGAGAATGGAGGAGAAGGGATTGTGGCGTGGCCATCTCCCCGGGAGGTGATTTCTCGCTTTCTGTCTTTCTGTCTCTCTGTCTCTCTCTGTCTTTCTGGTGAGCGCACGCGCCCTATAGCAAAAACCTCTAGAAAAAAAAAATAATAATAGTGTAAGACAGTAGGATTTCACTGTGGGTCAAATACCGAGCCTCGTGGCTTGGAAAACATGCCGGGCACATGTTTTTACCTCCAAGATCCCCACAGGGTAGATAAATGGAGAAGGGATTACAGCTTGACCATGTCCCATTGGGGGGCACTTTCTGTCTCGCTGGTGAGTGCACTCACCCTCTAGCAAACTTAAAATAAAGGAGGCTGGGACCAGCAGTTAGCATAATGGCTATGTTGCTGGGCTCCCATGTAGTCGAGTGTGGTTCTAGTCCCGGACCTGGCGGTTTAAACTCACACCAGGCGTGTGTGCGTGTGTGCGTGTGTGCCCAAGATCCTGAGAGGAGAATGGAGGAGAGAGGATTGCGGCATGGCCATCCCCCCTGGGGGGAATTTCTCACTTTCTGTCTCTCTGTCTCGCTCTGTCTGTCTGGCGAGTGCACACGCCCTATAGCAAAAACCTCTCAATAAATAAATAAATAATAAAATAAATTAATTAATTACGAGGGCCAGCAGGTGACTGGCAGGTGGTGTGGTGGTTAAAAGCACTGGATTCCCACGTCACTGACCGGACCGTGGTTCAAGACTTGGACCAGGTGGCTTGCCTTTTCATTTTCCTTTCTCTCTCTGTCTCTCTCTGGTCAAATTAACAAATAATAATAACAAATGGAATTAAATAAATAAAATATCAAAAATAATTTAAAATAAATAAAGAACCCCACTTTGTGACATGTCTAAGGCCCCTTGCAATGGTAGTTTGAGAACCTTTTTTTAAAAATTATTTAATTTCATTTATTTTTTTTTTTTGAGAGGTTTTCGCTATAGGGCGCGTGCGCTCACCAGACAGACAGAGACAGACATAGAAACAGAAAGCGAGAAATCACCCCTCTGGGGGATGGCCACCCCTCAATCCCTTCTCCTCCATTCTCCTCCTGGGATCTTGGGCATGCACTCACACGAGCCCGGCGTGAGTTTTAAGCCACTGGGTCCGGGACGTGAACCGCGGTTGACTACATGGGAGTCCAGTGACATAGTCATTACGCTAACTGCTGGTTCCCTAATTTTATTTATTCATTCATTTTATTTTAATTTGACCAAAGAGAGACACACAGAGGAAGAGAGAGAAAGTCAGAAAGCAAACCACCAGGTCCAGCACTTGAACCAGCGTCGGCCGTGTGGGAGTGTCCAGCACCTTAACCACCACCACAGCATCTGCTGGTCCCAGTAGTTTGAAAACCTTCAATTTTGTCAAAATCCTGTATACTTCATTTTGCAAATGAGGAAACATAGGCACAGAGAAGGGAAATGATTTGCCTAAGGTCATGGTGAATGTCAGAATCTGAACTGAACTTGAATCGGGTCTCTGCCCCAGAGGGGAGCAGAGAGGGGGGCGAGGTTGCAGTAACAGCAGGCTACAAAGCGTAACAGTGCAGCTCGGCACCTTAACCGAGGGGACAAGGGGACAAAAGGAGGTGAGGTGGCTGGAGCTCTGGGGGCCAGACCATGCTGGGACAGGGAGCAGACTGTCTTGGCTACAATTAAATTAGAGGATTATCTGAGGTTTCACTTGGCTAGGAGTTCTGTCCCTTAGCCATGTTCTTCCTCTCACACACACCTATACTTCCTGCAGGGGAGCTGGGCCCGGAGGTGGGTAGGGATGGGTGTTCACCTGGCCCAGCAGGTGCCTAGCAGGTATCCCAGGTGTGCCTTAGGAACACACAAGAAATAGAAGTGTTACAGAAATAACTCCCATGTATCAAATGCTAGTTTGCAAAATGTTCCTACTACTACTTGGTGATATTTCTTGTGAGATATTATCTTTGTCCTCTGGGCCTCAGTTTCTTTCTCTTTTTTTAGAGAGGTTTTTTGCTTAGGGTGCATGCACTTGCCAGAGACAGAGAAAGACAGAGACAGGAAGCGAGAAATCACCCCCTAGGGGATATGGCCATGTCACAATCCCTTCTCCTCCATTCTCTCGGGGTTTTGGGCATGCACGCACACGCACCCAGTGTGAGTTTCAAGCCTCTGGGTTTGGGACACTCTAACTGTGGTCGGCCACATGGGAGTCCAGCAACGTAACTATTATGCCACTTGCTGGTCCCAGGTCTGTTTCTTTATGGTAAAATAAATCTTTGTTTTCCCCTAAAGTGTCCTTTAAAATTCCCTTCAGCTGCAATTCCAGGGAATATTCTCTGGATCCCAGTCCTTCTCCAAATCCTCTCCCAATAAATCCTCAGGATTTCTGGGACCAAACCTCTATTTAATTTGTTTGCAACTGGCACCTGACATTCACTAGGCCCTTTTGTGTCATGACTGAAGACTGGGTCCAGCCAACCCATATGCAAGAACTTTGGCTGGCGGTTGAGGTTAAAGCGGATGTTCATGCTTTGTGTTCATGGTTTGTGTTAACGCTGTAAGTAAAAAGGGGGGACTCCCCCAACCTCAGACCCTGGGCTCCGTGAACTGTCAGGAGGATGGGAGCAAAAAGGTTAGAGGGTTGGAGATTGCCCTAGAGCCTCAGGCCGAGCCTGGTTCTCAAGAAAGGAGAGGGAGAGGGGAGGGGCTCCACCCGCCTGGTGAGGTCATGGGAAAGCTGCTCTGGCGCTGACACCTGGGGAAACCCGTTTCCAGGTCGCTTCCCACGCTAGCTCTCCTGGGAACCAGCTAAGCCCCAAGCGGGGAGCCCCACACCTGCCCCCCCCATTCCCGCTCAGTTGTCCTCACTCTGTCCTGTCTGATCTAGCCCCCACCATCTAACCTAGTCTCAGTCCTTTCGCACCCAACCTCTTCCTGCCCAGGCTGTTGGGCTTTCTTGAGGGTTTTGAGGGACCAATAGGAGGACTATACCAGAAAATGACAGAGACGGCAGCTTCAGAAATGTCAGGTTTTATTTGCAGGCTCTGCACTGCTCTACCTTCTAGGTTGTGACCCTGGGGAGAGGGATGGCCCCCAGCCTCTTCTTCCTTCAGGCTTTAATTTGCAGCTCCTCCCCCTCCCTTGGCTGGGCCAGGACTCTCACTTCCTGCCCCACTCTGGCCCAGCCAGTTTGGGCAGTGCCTAGGGAGCCCTGGGATCTAGTTCTTCCCAGGGACCAGCCCCGCCCCCTGGCCCCGGCGGCCGGGAAGGCAGCCCAGCTGTCAGCCTGCTCCTCTGCTGCCTCAGTTCCCTGCTCTCCTGTCTTCCTCCTTCCAGGCCAAGCCCTCTGGTCTACCTCCAGCCCCACAGCTTCAGGGCTCACGTTCCCTTCCTCTCAACCCCTCATGGCATATCTTAAACTTCTCTCCAAATCATGGCTGGACACCTGCCAGCCCTCCAAGATGCCCAGCTGTTCCCAAGGCTCTTCCTCAGCCCCCCAGTATTAAAGAAGGGGTGGGGACCACCACAAGCAGTCCTGACTCAGCCATACTGATTTGGGGACCTGGGAATTAGATCCCAAACTGCTCCAAGGTGGCCAACACTATTAGGGCCATCCCATGAAAATCAACATGCTGGGCTTTCTTTGTTAGCCTTGACAGCAGAAATTCAAATCAGAGCCGTTCCTCCTTCCGGCCCTAGGGACCGGACCCCCTGACATATCAGAGCGGGCCGTTAGAGGAGAATGTCCCCAGTGTTCAGAAGGAAACTGAGTCCCATAGGGTAACCAGGCCCTGCCAGGAACCCCCTCAAAGGCCCGCTGCCCCACATTCCGGAAGTCTCTGGCCTCCAGCCTCCAGCGCACTGCATGCCATAGCTGTTCAAACAAAGCAGAAGAACTTCTTCCAGCGGCACCGGGAGAGGGTGCGCACACCTTTGGCATTCAGTTTCTTCTCCAGCCGTGCTTTGTGCTCGATGGCACTGAGAATGGCAGAGTCAAATACCTCCTTCAGGTTCTTCTGGGTCAAAGCCGAGCACTCCAGGTAGCAGCAGGCCCGGATCTTTTCCGCCAGACCTTGAGCCTGGGGCTGGGGCACCGGGCCCTCCCGGCCTCCTTGGTCCAGCTGAATCAGTACATTGACATCGTCCCTCAGGTCGGCCTGGGTGCCCACCAGCAGCACGGGTGCCTGGGGGTTGTGGGTCCGGATCTCGGGCAGCCATTTCTCTGTGATGTTTTGGAAGGAGCTGGGCTGCACCACGCTGAAGCATGCCAGGAAGACGTCGGTATCCGGGTAGCAGAGGGAACGAAGCCGATCAAAGTCCTCCTGAGGTAGGAAGGTCCGGGCATTAGTAGGATTATTCCCGGCCATATGGAAAAAGGAATCCGCTTCTTACCTGGGGCTAGAGACCCGAGACTCCAAAGGGCCCAAGGCTGTCTCCCTTCCCGCTCGAACTGGGGGTCCTCCCACCAGCGAGCCCGCCTCCCCCAGGTCGTAAACGATGCTCTCAGTTTCTCACCTGTCCGGCTGTATCCCAGAGCTCAATGCGCACCGGGGCTCCATCCACCAGGACTTGCACTGCAGGGGTGGGGCGGGGAAAGCCTGAGTTAAGAAGAGCGACCTGGGCCACACCGGACCTCACCAGCGCCACCTCGGGGCCTGCTCTCGCCTCCTCCCCGGGGTCTTCGGTGCCCTCCCGCCGAGTGCACAACCCCACCGCCAGGCACACGGCCGCTGAGGCCATCGAACGTACCGGAGAAGGTGTCCAGGGCTGTGGGCCGGTAGCGCGCGGGGTACCCATTGCAGGTGTAGCTGACGATGAGGCTGCTCTTGCCCACCGCCCCGTCGCCCACCAGCACGCACTTGATACCTAGCTCCGGGGGCGCGCTGCGCCGCCGCGGAGGCGGGGTCGGGGCCCGGAGAGGGGGCGGCTCGGGCTCGCTCAGCTCCCGCGGCGGCATGGCCCGCTCCCGGGGCAGCAGAGGGGCCAGCCCGTGACCAGGCTCAGCTGCTCTCGGGGAAGCAGGTTCCGCTGGCTGCCTCTGTTCGAGTGGGTCCAGGCTGGGCGCGCCTCCGCACGCTACCCGCTGGGATATCTAGGGCCCCGCCCACCTCCTCTGCATGTCCCGAGCGGCCC